ATGGAACTACTTTGGCAATGTGTAATTGTGTCCATGTGAAAGCCATGGATCTTTCTAACCAACCTGATGCTTAACCATTGATTTGTTGATGATATATTTGAAATTCTTCATCAAATCAAAGCCTGGGTAGCTTTGGGACCAGTGTTAAAACATTAACTTCTGACTATACCACACTACACCCAAAACCAGTCTAGAAATGGTTCTGATATCAAACATAGTTGAGCTGAAAGACTATGACCTTTCTGAATATATTGCACCCTTCTTCCCCACTAGGTCTTACAAGGATGTTCAAGCAAACAGGTATGTTGGAAAAAACTTAATGGTAGCTTACTTCATCATTTAGCTTACTACACTGTACATCTTATCCAGTATACATGTAATAGAATTATATGTACCTGTGATACATTGATTAATGACTGTACTTACAACTTGCCATTCATCTTTTAGATTTTTTCATGTCTTATTTAATACTTCACTGAAGCAGGCTGTGGATATATAATTATCACTGCAAACTTCTTCCCACCTTTCTATTATATGGCCACGTGTTGAATATAACACTATGTCACAAGCCAAGGTTCTTCCTTCAAATGTTCAAAAGCCACAGACCATTTTCCTTAGAAAGCATTTTTTATTGACCCAAAAGCACAAATCACCCAGAATGAATCTCTGAGCATACACAGAGTGGTTTTTGAATCCAATGTAGCATTTGTCTCCAGGGGCACTCTTTATGAGTAAGTCTGAACCACATTCCTTCAGGAGAGGCCTTCTGAAAGTGAGTACAACTCCTTTTCATGTGTGGATCCTCTAAATGGGCAACCCTTCTTTGCTGATGCTGCATCATGGGGTCAAGAGCAGGGAATGCCTGGTCTGTGTTTGAGAAACTCCCATGCTCAGGGTCCCCTCCTGCCAGCTGTATATCTTGATTATTCTCAGGAACCACCTGCCCACCTGGGGAGTCTGGCCTTGAGATAAGCACCTCTGCTTCTCTCCTCTCAGTGTCTCAGCTTGGCCCATAATTTATGCCCCCATCTATTCTGCTTCACATTCTGATTCTGATTCTTCTGAAGCCCAGCCAACAGTCCTTGAGAATAAGCTCCAAAAGCAGTCATCCTTCTCACTCCCAGTACATAATTCTACTAAATTGGCTTTTGGTTAATTACAGTAGCCTGTAAGAACAAAAATAGAGGACTAAACAGATACACAAAGTATATTCGTGAGGGAATACTTGCTGTTTGCTTATTCTTCATCATTTTACCTAAATACCTTCCCTCTATTATGTGTGTTACATTTATCATGAGTATGTGTTTTAAGAGTCCATTACAAGAGTCAGAGGCTTGCCTCATTTTAAGCAACCCAAACAGTAAAAATAAAAAACCCTCAGAAAATGGGGGGGGGGGGGGTCAAGGATACACATGAGAGTTTTCTGGACCCTTGATAAATTGTACTGAATCTGAGAGACAGTGGAGGTGTCCACTTCCAAAAGCCGGCTTCTATGTCCAAAGGCAGTTCAGAAAAGTTGGAAGGGGGAATTGGAAGGATGTCCTTTATATTTTGGAACTGTTACTCAGAAAACATGTAAAAATCAAGCCCTTGCATTTCATGCAATGCACTTGAACATGATCTTTCAAGCATCATGTGATGATTTGTAATATTCTAACAGCTGTAACAGTTTAGTAGCAGGTAGCAAACAAACAGCACACACTCACATACATGAAAACAGACCAAATATTTGAGTTAAAAACATGGATTGGAGAATATATGGAGCCTGAGATTGAAAAATTGACAGAGTACATCTATTTTGGGAATGGAGGAAAAAGTCATTTCAGAATACATACTTTCCTTGCATGAACTTCACAAAATGCTAGATGCACTCTGAGCAGTAATTTGTATTTGCCCTTTTCTTTAATATGGATATAATTAATCACCAGATCTGATTGGTTGCTAATGGTAGATTTGGGCTGAATGTATGTTGTTATCACTGAGACTAGTTCCATGTTTTGATGAGTCCATGCACTCTACCTCAAATGGCAGCATGTCCCAGGATTCTCTGCAATGGAATAAAGGACTCACTGACCATGTGCATATTTTGCAATGGACCACCTCTTGGCACCACTAGCATCAGTTATGATAGCCACCCAGCTAAAACTATGTGTAGCAGAGTCATTTACCCTAAGTTGTAATTTGCCTGCCTGGCATAACTAAATGCTAGGATAGGATAGTAGCCAAGAATCAGCTACAAAGCAGGGCAGCTTTGCTTCAGATATCACATGTTATGAATTATTTGCACAGTAGCTGAACCTGCTTGGGTGCTACTGCTTTGTCACTGGGGCTAAAATGCTTCATCACTGGTGTTCCTTCCACTTAAAGAGCTTGTTCACTTGAAGAACAGCTTACAAGCCTGCTTCTTCCATAGCTCTAGGTAGGTTGGCCCAAATGTTGATGCAACCAATCTGATCAGAGGGCTTCGTTTGAAGAGCAAGGGGGGCTATGACTGAACTGGTCTGCTGTAGCTTCCAGTAAATAGGAATGTATGTTCAGTGTCCAGTATTCTATTCAGTAGACAACAGATGAAGGGAAGGTGATTTGTAAAGGGATATTATTTAGAAGATTCTGTGCGTGTGTGTTTAAACCAATAGATGACCTCTGGACATTTAAACTTGGGATAGTTCAATTTCTGAGATTTAATTTGTGAGCTTCCATATACACCATAAATCATGGACCTACACTGAGACAAAGTGCAGCCAGCCTTAGGTTTGTGTTATGAGGAGACACTTCTGCTAGTTAGGCCTCCATAGTGGCTGTTGTCAGCACAGAGCTGTGTATTCTCTTTCCCTCTTCTAAGCTTGGGTGTATTTTAAATATGAGATCTCGAGAATGCTTTACATCTATAAAGGGTTCCCCGTCTTGACTTTGCCCTCTTTGCTGTGCCCTTATTTTGACTTCAGCTGACAATCTGTGAATTTTAGATGATTACCTGGAGGTGGGGTGGGGTTGGGGGGGGGAGAGAGAGAGGATATCTGTCTGTCTGTCTACAGTAAATGACATTGTTCATTCTTTTCACCTGGGGGCTTAACTTGTTTGTGTGCTGACATTTGTCATTGGGTTTCTCATGCTCAGAGTGCTAGCTTCCTCCCCTGACCTTCTCCACTTCCATTTTGGTTTTTCCTATAAAATGTGAGTGTTGTATGTGTAACTTTTGTCTCCATTCTGGTTAGTTGACCAAACTGATTTCCACTGGATGTTGATGAAGTGCTTTATCACCTGGAAAGCTTGAGAGAAGGTCTCTTGGGGTACCATGTCATGATCTAATAGTAAAACCTATTCCCCTGAAACTTCAGGTTTGCCCATTCTTAGGGGCTCTGACCATTAGGCAAAGCTAAAGAGCTGCCTCAGGCAACAGATTCTAGAAACAGTACCCCAGCAATTCTTCCTGAGGTCTCCCTACACTACCACTCGTATTATCCTTCTAAGACTATGCCTCAGTGCTTATTGCTGGTCTGATTTGTCCATCTGTTTCTGTTGTCGTCATACAGTCCATTTGGGAAAGGGTCTGAGAAGGGTGGCAGAGAGGCAGTGAGCTTGGATCCCACAGTTCAGCAGGCATGGCACATATGCATGTATTGTTGTACTGCCATGATCACTAACTGCAACATTTGTTTGTAAAAATGCACCTGATAGAGCAGGTGTGCTTGAGGACAAAATTTTTAAACCATTATTTATCCTGCCCTGTGCTCAGTTGTGATGGAAGATAAGCAGCAGCTCAGCTACCATCTGTGAATGGAGTTGTGAATTGTGTAATGAGCCAAAGGGAAAGAAATAGCTAGTGCCAATTTTGCCTACATAAGTAAGTGTGTTACATTTATGTAAATATGTGTCATTTTAGCACCAAATAGTATATGAGAATATTGTCATAAGAGGTTGGCAATTTTTGGTCCTCCAGTTATTTTAACCTATAATCCCCTTGCCTAACCCTAGTCTGCCCCATAGATTCCTGGTGCATTACTATTCCCCTCTCCAGGGATCTCTGAGAACTATAGCTATGTAAATAAGTAGGGATCTGAAACTGTTTCAACCACTTACCAGTCTAACATCCTATAAAGCCACAAGTTCTTTGGGAACATTGTTATTGTTAAACAGGAACAAAACAGGAATATAGACTTTCCCCTTCCCATTTTTAAAGGCTATCCCTATTTGCCCTTCATAATAGGCTTTTCCTCAAACTTCATCAGGAAATTCTGGGTTATTAAATGCAAGCTTCAGCTCAATGGAATTAAATGATTTATAGAAAAATTACTTTTCAGCAAATATAACGTATAATGCAGCCAAAGTACAATGAGAGATAATTATGTTTTTGTGAAATGCATCTATATGCTAAATCACACATATTTTATGTGTAATTTAAGATCACTTAAATCTGAATTAGCTTCCAAATTTTTCCTTTGCAAACACTGGTGTTGAATAGTCATCAAATATTGGATATCTAGTTGGCATCCTATTAGATACTGAACAGTTGCTATATTGACAGCAACATGCAATGCTATGAGTGTATATGATAGTTTATATACTTGGAATTTAGAAAATACTTCCTTTTTTGATGCTTGAGAAATAATCAAGGGGAGCCAACAGGTTTAAAGGGCTTGAATTCTGAGATAATATTTACACTAGCATGTACATTTTAATTTAATTTAGAATTGAAGGTGTCATATTCAGTATATGAGTTACAAAATCCAGCATATTGTGAATATTTGCGAATATTTATTTCAGCTCTAGAAACCTCTGTGCAAAATTAAATTTCCAGTTAAAGGTCAAAAGTGGCATAATATTGAAGAAGCAAGTATTTAAAAATGATTGAATCTCAACATTATATTGCCTGACGTTTGTATGTTTCTCATAAGGTCGGAGAGGTTGTGTTGGCATAGGTGTATTTGTTGTTTTGTTCTGACGGATTTAATTCTTTACTTTCATTCTGCTTTCCTCTGGCCATTCGAATTTACATGAAGGCTGGCAGCTTTCTTGGTCATCTTTATCTATCTGTGCTGCAACCTGTCCTGCTTCACAAGGTATAATGGAAGGGGCATTATCTACGCACTCTGATATATTTTGTGTCTCAGAACTAAAATGTGATGCCTATATTGAATTTGCTTTTCCTTATAATTAATCATCATTGTCCTTAGACTTTTACTTTAATCTCATCTTTCTTTTATTTAGATTGCTCTCAGAATGCATTTCAGATGCAAAAACTACAGCCTGACACATATTTAGCTAGGAGAAGGTGATGGAATCTTGCACTTCAGTTGCTTGCTAGGTGACATTCTGGCTTAGTTATTGATTTTGTTTCTGCTCAGCAGAAAGAAAATCTAAAGCAGAGATGGGGAACCTCTGGGTTGTAGCCAGCCCCCCTTGCCTCAAAATCAAGCCAGAGACTGTCTCCCCAAGCCATAGCACCTCCCTGAGCCACCATTGCTCAAGGGTACCTTTGTCTGATGTAATTCCGTTTCCTGGTTTCCACTACTGACTTTTTCCCCCTCCCTCCCTCCTCCTAATAGCTATTCCAACAGCTGCCAAGAACTAATGAGTACTTTGGAGCAGAGCACTTTGAAAAGCTAACAGCTGAGGATTAATAACTTTTTATGCAGTTCTGGAAGCCTTCATGTGTTTTCAGCAGGGTCCTTGCTAATCCTTGCCTCTGGGTTCCATTGAAGCTTTGACCCTTTTCGCAGAACACCCATCAGTTCTCAGCAGCTGTTGGAGGAACTGAGAAGTGTGTAGGGCAGAGATGGGAAAGGATAGCAGAATGAGCAAGGATAGATCTAAAGCACCTACATGGTAAATTTGGACCATGTTTGAGAGACAGAATAGGGTGTTAGGGAAAATAAAGGGTGGCAGAGAAAGAGGCCTGCCTTGCAATAGAGTTGTTATGCTGCAAATTGCAAGATTGTCTATATGAATGTATTATATTTCTTAATTTCATTGATGATATGTTTTCTTCCCTAAATAGTTATCATTTGGGTGGTGAGAATTGGATGTTTTGAGAGATACCTTTATGTGTTTTCTGTTGACTTTGCCAAGCAGGTGTGAACTTAAAATTTAACCTTGGGATTTGCATTTATTATATCCATTAATTGTATATTAAGAGCGTATACTAGTGACATGAAATTGCAAATGGCTGTGGCATAATGGAATAGTCAGTGTGGTGTAGTGGTTAAGAGCATGGGACTGGGACTCAGAGGATCTGGGTTCGAGTCCCCGCTCGGCCATGGAGCCAACTGGGTGACTTTGGGCCAGTCACAGTCTCTCAGCCCAACCTACCTCACAGGGTTGTTGTTGTGGGGATAAGATGGAGGAGGAGAGATAATGTAAGCTGCCTTGAGCCCTTTGTAGGAAAAAGGCAGGATATAAATCAAAAAAATAAAAAATAATAAATAAATATTGTTGAAATTATTAATAGGCTTTGGCTTCATTACACTATGGCCTACTTCATTTGTTTCTGTTTGTTTTAATGCAAAGATATATACCTTGCTGTTCTGTCTGAAAATTGCCAGAGTGACTTAACATATTCCAATTTTAAGTTCCGTTCACCTCAAACTTTGAGAATTTCTTTAATTTTAAGTTGTAACATTACTGCCCCAGGCAAGCAGCAGCAGGGTGCTGAGCTCATTGGAAGTCCCCATCTGCTGGTTGAGATTAGCTGAGCAATTCACCACCTTCTGCTCAGGAGGTCTCTTCTTGATCTGGAGAATGAAGAAGTGGGAGTGCCCAATCTGATTGGCACTACTGCCCTCAGCAAGGAGCAGCAGTGGGAATCCCTGCCTCCTGCTCAAGAGGAAAGACCTCTCAGGTCATGAGCAGATTATCTTTCTGCTCTATGCTGCCACCTCAACAATGGGGCAGTAGGTAGAGTGGAAATTAGGGAGGTCTCTGAAAACTGCCCCTACATGCTGCTTGGGCATGTTGGGAGTGGCTATCAGCCACCCTCTCTGGCTGGCTACTCTTGCAAAGCAGCTTGCTTGCTGTGAGGCTAGATCCATGATAAATTATGTCATCTGGGTTTGGATGATATCACAATCCATCACAAGTGAAATCATACAACAAACAGTAGGTTCTTATTATGGTTGCCAGCCATGATAAGAACCAATGGATGCTAACCATGGTTGGGTTCACAAGACAACAAGCACCTGTTGCCTGTTACAATTAGTTGATTGTGGTATTATGCTTTGTTTAGGAAAGGGTTGTTGTTGTTTTTTAACAATTTGATGAAAATTAAGTGAGTACATTGGCACTCCAGTGAAGAAACTTAGAAAGAAAGAGAAACACAGGTATGTGTGTCTGTTGTGGGGGTGACTTGATGGATCTTATTGACTATAATTTAGTAAGTGGAGAGAAACTCAGAGTTTGCTGGACATTTTGACTATGTCAATTGTCAAGCAGGCAAAGGTAGAAAGAAAGGCAACCAAACAAGCAAGGGACTAGGGTAATTCCCCTAAAAGAAACATAGAAATCTAGAGACAGAGCGAGTCAGAAGGGGCCTACCAGGTCATCTAGTCTGACCCCCGGCTCTAGCCGGCTTCGCTCATGACATGCCCACCATGTGCATGTTCAGCCTATCTTTGAACACCCTCACTGATGAGGCCTCAACAACCTCTCGTGGAAGCCCATTCCACACCCTCCGGGTCCTGACTGTCAGGAAGTGCTCCCTGGCATCTAAATGGAACCTTGGTTCCCTGAGCTTCTTTCAATTGGAGTGCGTCCTGCGTTCCTCTGCAGGGGAGAACAGGTCTCTACCCATCTCTGTGTGACATCCCCTCACATACCTGTATGTCGCCAACATATCCCCTCTGAGTCTCCTCTTCTCCAGGCTGAAGAGACCCAGTTCCCTCAGTCTTGCCTCATACGGCATCCCCTGCAAAAGAAGATACAGCACAGCACCAGGAGTTAAGCCCTGAGAGTTTTAGCCTGATGTATTCTGGCCCTTGCCCTTCCAAGAGCTTGGAAATCAAAGCCAGGGGCAGAAAAGTTCCAGAAGTTCCAAAATGTAAAGCTTGGGTTGGGGTGGCATTGGCAGAGTGAAGTTACTCCTTCTGATAAGGAGCAATGGCAGTGATTGATTCCAGGGACTCTCATAATGAATGAAAAACCACAGAAAGCAACTGAGAAGCAGAAGTATTTATCTTATGGACATTATTATTTAGATTTTAGCTGCTGCTTCTGCAAGACTGACTGATAAAGGCACATTAAATAGTGAAAATAAGGAATATTTTGGCCTTGGAGGGAAGGAAGAAATAAGAAAGTAATGATTTGACCTGTGAAGCCAGCAAGGCTGGCAGCATCTGCATCAGCAGAGTGGAGTTACTCCTTGTGGTAATCTATTGCTATCACTGCTTACTTTTGGTTGCTCCTTCATTTTGCATCCCAGTATTCCTTCAGTGCACTTGGAGGTTGTATAATTGGTGGTCCTTAGGAGAAATATGGCCTCCCTAGTAAACCTTGGACAATTGTTTGCTATCAGGAGAGCTGGGATTGTTATAATGATTGACTATTGTGGGTTATAGACAATTGGATGTTTGACAAAGGCTTTCTGATTTCTTTGATCTTTACAAAGATTTATTGGAGCATATATTTAAGTACCTTTTATCCCTTTTAAGTTTTTCTCTTTTTGCCTTTTTCTTTGTATTAGTGGGTTAAAAGTTTTTGATATCTTGAAGGTTTATGTAAGCCTAATACAGGACACACAAGAAAAATTATAGTCAGCTAATTTGTGAAAGGTTTTTTTGGGGGGGTGGGGGAGGTAATATTTGACAAATTTAACTTTGTAAAATGGTTTTCAGCAAACAGCGATACAAGGAACAAGGAATTTCTCCCATGCATGGTAATCTGTTAGAACAAAAGAAAAGACAAAAGAAAATCACTAATTTCTTCTTTCCTAAAGATGAGGATATCACCTGCTGTTTCTAACTTAGGCTGGTCAATAAGTTATAAATGTATGACACTGGAGACACAATGGGAGGATGCAGTTGCTGACTTGGCAATGGAGTGGGACACTGCAGAGAATGCTGTGGTCACCAGTATGGTAGCAAAGAAGAGAAGAAAGGAATTAGATGACTTTATATTAAAACAAATAGATGACTTAACATAGGGGATACACCCATTTGGAGAAAGAACCCTCCTTAAAAACAACTGAGTTGAGAGAGTAAACTGATACTAATACACTGTTCCAATGGGTAAAAGACATTTTAGATGAGATGAGGCTAATCAAACTATTTCTTTATGAACCCCACCAGTTGTTAACTACCTTAATTGAGATAGGTAAATTGCCAAAGGAAAGTAACAAAGCAACCTAGGCACTGCAATTCCCCAGCCTGTTTTTATGGGGAAGAAAAACTTTTGAGGAGCAAACTAAGAACCAAAAGAAGATCACTTATAAATGCTCAGATAAAAAAGCACAAACCCAAGGAAAAATAAGAAAGTGTCAATAAAAATAAACAAGAGTAAAAGCATTAGTATAAATAAGATAATAAGAGTATAAATAAGATAAGAAACCCAACTTATAAGATGAACTATTATAATTTCTTTAAATTTCTTGAGAATAATTCTAGTGGGGGGAAGTATCAAAATCTAAGAAAATTGAAAAAGTTAGATAGTGATATGGTCTGCATAGATACCTAGCACACAATTACTCCTTTTATTATACAAGACAGTAAAGACTCAGTGGGGAATCATCCATGGGATGATGTCTTAAACACCAACATCAAGAAAGGCAACCAATTAACAGCACAAGAAATACAGTCTAAGTACAATCCCATATGGAAATTAATATTAATGGCCCAGATGTTAGTATGTTTTGGATATCCAAAACAAAAAGGAATGCTCTCCCAGGATTAATGTAAATTGCATTGACTCAAAACTCTACAACTGACAGTTACTGAACTATCTTCCATAACTAACATTATGAAGGAAGTATTTGTTCTACAATTATACCCATTCCTGGGCAGTGGCAACTTGTAGCAATAGCATAATAACTAATAGGATTTGCTATTTGTTAAAAAGAGAAATCAGTTATCCTCCAGGGGTATAATAGTTGCCAGATAATTTTAAAGTTTGGCATATCTCGCACCCTTGTTATGTGTATGTACAAGAGAGACAGATGAGAGTATTTCAGCCCCAGTTAACAAGAGACCCATTGTTGGAGCTTTTATAAATGTCACAGTATTCCTAGAAGATCAAGTGACAGAAAGCCATACTGGATATAGGTGTCTTACAGGGAATATGAAGGAATGACCACGTAACAGATAGGATTAATTCAGAGTTTAGCTGGCCAAAAGATGAAGTGGAAGCTAACTTTCTCTCCTTCTTTGGTAACCTTTGCTGTTGTTGTTAGTCGTAAAGTCACATCCAACCCATCACGACCCCATAGACAACATTCCTGCAGGCTCTCCTGTCCTCCACCATCCCTTGGAGTCCACCCAAGCTCACACTCACTGCCCCAGTGACTCCATCTAGCCACCTCATCCTCTGCCGTCCCCTTCTCTTTTGCTGTCAATCGTTCCCAGCATCAGGGACTTCTCCAATGAGTTGTTCTTTGGTAACCTACCAACACCCAACCAAGTTTCCTTGATAAACCACTTAGAATGTCTGGTGGCTACTCTGAAGGACTTAAAGTGGTCCTCTTATTTCAAGGAAAAGAAAGAGAGTGATCAACTTCTTATTTGCAGTTCACCAAGGAAGGTCCAGGATGAAGACAAAATTCTCCCTCTGCTGGAACCCACTGTAATAGTAAGAAAACAAGTCCCCATTTCAAATTTGATTGTTCCCCCAGATGACCCTGAACTCTGTATGATAGTTGAGGATCCCCTATTAAACATGGAGAGTAACTCCTCCAAACAGACACCCATTGAGAGGGCCAAAGCATGACAAGTTTTAGACCAGCATATGCAAGACACAATAAAACCCCCAAACCCTAATTATCTCATGGAACATAGCAGGGTGATCATGCTATAAAAATCAGGAGCAATTTTTTTCAGTAGAAATATGATATAATATTAGTACAAGAGACATGGACAAATGAGGACTTGTTGATTGATGGATATCATTCCTATAACAGCAGGGCAATACCTGGATGCTCAAAGGGAGGCTAGGAATTTTAGTATTGGCCACATTGAGGGCAAAGTGCACTTTATTACTACCACTGAATCAACTGGCTATGGCATTCCTCATTAAATCTGGTTCTATTCTGATACTAGTGGTAAACATATATCTGCCCCATAACAAACAAAGATAACTATTACATCAATCTGGACTGATGTGGTATGTTGAAGATCTAATAGTAGATAATGTTGCAGATAAAGTCCTTTTTTCGGGGGACTTTAATGCCAGGCTTGGCCCAAACAATCATTTTCTTTATGCTAAGTAGAAGGTGTGTATTGCAGACAATGTGCCAGAGCATCTTCTTACCCATTATCCTCGCTGCTCCAAAGGTGGTACAGCAAATTATGCTGGTATATGCCTGACTGAAAGACTGAACTTTACTATTCTGAACAGATCTATCTTAGGGGATTATCCCAGGGATTTCACATTGATAGCTGGAAAGAGATGTAGTGTTGTTGTTGTTAGTCACGAAGTCATGTCTGACTCATCGCGACCCCATGGACAACATTCCTCCAGGCCCTCCTGTCCTCCACCATCTTCCGGAGTCCACCCAAGCTCACACCAACTGCTTCAGTGACTCCATCTAGCCACCTCATCCTTTGTCATCCCCTTCTTCTTTTGCCATCTATTGTTCCCAGCATTAGGGTCTTCTCCAGGGAGTCCTTCCTTCTCATTAGGTGGCCAATGTATTTGAGTTTCATCTTCAGTATCTGGTCTTCTAAAGAGCAGTCAGGGTTGATCTCCTCTAGGACTGACCGGTTTGATCACCTTGCGGTCCAAGGGACTCGCAGGAGTCTCCTCCAGCACCACAATTCAAAGGTCTCAATTCTTTTGCACTCAGTCTTCCTTATGGTCCAGCTTTCTCAGCCATACATTGCAACTGGAAAAACCATAGCCTTGACTATACGCACTTTTGTTGGCAGGGTGATGTCTCTGCTTTTTAGTATGCTGTCTAGATTTGCCATAGCTTTCCTCCCCAGGAGCAAGCATCTTTTAATTTCTTGGCTGCAGTCCCTGTCTGCGGTGATCTTGGAGCCCAGGAAAATAAAATCTGTCACTACCTCCATTTCTTCCCCATCTATTTGCCAGGAAGTGAGAGGACCAGATGCCATGACCTTAATTTTCTTAATGTTGAGTTTCAAGCCAACTTTTGCTCTCTCCTCCTTCACCCGCATCAAGAGGTTCTTTAGTTCCTTTCACTTTCTGCCATGAGAGTAGTATCATCTGCATATCTGAGGTTGTTGATATTTCTCCCAGCAATCTTAATTCTAACTGGTGATTCATCTAGCACCGCCTTTCTCGTGATGTGCTCTGCATATAAGTTAAATAGACAGGGTGACAGTATACAGCCTTGCTGAACTCCTTTCTCGATTTTGAACCAATCATTGGTTCCGTGTCCAGTTCTCACTGTTGCTTCTTGACCCACATATAGGTTTCTCAAGAGACAAATAAGATGGTCTGGTACTCCCATCTCTTTAAGAACTTGCCACAATTTGTTGTGATCCACACAATCAAAGGCTTATGCATAGTCAATGAAGCAGAAGTAGATGTGTTTCTGGAACTCCCTAGCTTTCTCCATGACCCAGCGTATGTTGGCAATTTGATCTCTAGTTCCTCTCCCTCTTCGAAATCCTGCCTGTACTTTTGGTATTTCTCGGTCCACATACTGCTGGAGCCTAGCTTGTAGAATTTTGAGCATAACTTTGCTAGCATGTGAAATGAGTGTAATGGTGTGGTAGTTTGAACATTCTTTGGCATTGCCCTTCTTTGGGATAGGAATGTAAACTGACCTTTTCCAATCCTGTGGCCACTGTTGAGTTTTCCAAATTTGCTAGCATATTGAGTGTAGCACTTTTACTGCATCGTCTTTTAGGATTTTGAATAGCTCAATACACTCCATCAACGGACAGTCCCACCGGAAATGCCCCTCCTTGCCACAAGTAAAGCATACTTGCTTCAGCTGGGATCCTATTCCTTTCCCACTTGTAAGGCACAGCGAGGGCCAAGGGGGGGCCTGGCGCATGCACTTCCAGCTGGGCGACATTCTTGGGCCTCATGCCTCTTCCCGTGGGTGCGGGTTCAGCAGGTCTTGATCTCTCTGGGCCCCTGTTGCCATGGCCCCCAGGTGCTGTCTGCCTCTGACCCTCCTGCCAGGGTGGCCCTGGCCTGTCTCCTACATCTGGCTCCTCCACAGCCACAAAGGTTTCCATAAGTACGATGGCCTTCTCTAGGGTTTCAGGCCTCTGGTACCTAACCCAGTTTCTGGCTGGGATGGGCAGGACAGTTATAAACTGTTCCAGCAGGACCAGCTCAGCCACCTGTTCACTGTGGACTGCAGACTTAAACCATCTCAGCCCATTAGCCCAAATCTTCTGTCCCAAGGCCCTGAATGATGTACGACCCCTCTCATCTGCCGCTGATAGGTCTCTTCAGAAACATTCAAAATCCCTAGAATGGCCACCTTGACTAAATCATACTGGCTTGCCGCTTCTGGGATAAGGGTATGCACTGCTTCTTGGGCAGGACCCATGAGGCAAGACATCAGGATGAGGGCCCACTGGTCTTTGGGCCACTTTGCTGCCAGGACAACCCTTTTGAAGGTATTTAGAAAGGCTTCAGGGTCATCTTCCGCGGTCATCTTAGAGATCTGCATAGATCTTGGGCCTTTTCCTCCTATCTGCCCCACCAAGGTCTCAGCTTGAGGGCTTTGTAATCTCCCCAGCACTTGTTGAAGCAAAAAGCTTTGGTTCTGGAGCTGGGCAGTGAAAACTTGCTCTATAACTGTGTCTGTTGTGCTGCTAATTGCTGCAACAGGCATTGCTGCTCCTGGGCCTGGAGTCTTTGCTGTTCAGCCCACCTAGCCATCCAGGAGTCCACTGGGGTGGGGAGGGGATGACCTGTGCCCCTCATCCTGCCCTGCCCCCACTCTCCACCACTGTGACTGCATCAGGAGGGGGCTGCAAGCCAAAGACCCCCTTTTCCGGCTTCTCCATGAAGAGCAACACAAGAAAGATGGTGCACTCACCGGGACTTTATTCTTCTGTTACACTTCCACTGCTCGTTTCACCATCGCCTGCTCCGACTCCCTTCCCTCCTCTTACTATGGCAATGAACTGTGCTCCCCAGTCTGCTCGTGGTTTGCCCTGGCTGGCCTGCCTGCCAGTGGTAGCTGCGCTGGCTCTTCCTCAAACATACGTGCATTTCTTCCCTCTTCCCTCTTCTTCCTCTGCCTCCTCTTTATATCCATCCTTGCACACCACTCCACCCAACTCAGCTGCCTCAGTCCACAATCCCATACAGCTGTGCTCTCGCTCACATTCCCTGGCCACTGCCTTCTTGTGAGCTGCTCTCCCCACATGGATTCCCAGCCTTGCCCTGTTGTCTTTGGCCCTGCTCTGTGGAAGGCCCCAGGAAAAGGGGTGAGCCCCTCTGCCTCCTCACAGAGTGGCATGCAGCTATAGTGGAATGGTCAGTGGGACAGGAACCGATAGCCACTTATAATAACTTACTGCAGTTATTGAACCCAATATTGACTCATGATGCTAAGTTACAAATGAAAAGAGTGATAAAGATTCAAAGTGGAGGTTTGATATGGAATGCTGGGAAGCGAAAAAGGCACTGATTTCTGCATATCATTCTTACAAGACTGCAGTAAGGTCAGATATCTTGAGCCTTAAGAATCAATTACTAGAGAAAAAGAAAGTGTATAAACAGATAGTGACCAAGAAGAAGAAATATGGCATCAAAGCAACATAACCTTGGCTTATACAAGCAACCAAAGATGGAAGACTCCACAGCTTTCTGAAAACTGATATCCAAATTTTCTCCTACAGAGGTCTCTCCTTTAGATTCTTTAATTACACCTGATATTTGGGAAGCACACTTTAGGAAGATACATGCTGAGGTTGTTTATGAATTCCCTTCACAGAAGTTAGGGGATCTTCCTGAATGACCTCTAGTTTCTGTTAAAGAAATTTAAGTCATTGATTGATCAATGTAAGAGAGGGAAAGCCCCTGCTATTGACAATATTCCACCAGAACTTTTGAAAAATAGCACTAGTTAGTGGATGCACCCCTTGGCTTCATTATTTACTTATATTAACCATTCAGGACATATTCCAAAGGAATGGATACAGGTGATAATACAAATTTTTAAGAAAGGGAAGAGGAATGATATGGCTAATTACAGACCAATCAGTCTGCTCAACCTAATTGGTAAACTTTATGCCTGTCATCTGTTAGATAAATTAAAACCATGGCTTATTGTTGTTGTTGTTGTTCAGTTGCAAAGTCATGCCCAACTCTTTGCGACCCTATGGGCAACATTCCTCCAGGTTCTCCTGTCCTCTACCATCTCCCGGAGTACACCCAACCCAACACTAGAACAAGAAAATATATTGGCTGAACAGCAGGCAGTATTCAGGGAAGGTATATCAACTCTGGGTCATAATTTAATTATGCAATAATTGAAAAGTATTGCAGCTAAAACCACGGTTTCACTATATTCAGCATTTATTGACCTAAAGACTGCATTTGACCGTATATCTAGAGAAACATTATGGAAGAGACTTGAGGATGCATCTATCAACTGAAAGCTTTTATATTTGCGAGCCCTATACTCAAACACTTCTTTGAAAGTCAGATGCAATAGGATTGGGCATCTTACTGAATATTACCACTCCTATTCACTTTCTATATCAACAACATGGTTAGCCAGTTAAATAACCTTGATACACTTTCCCCTGCTTTAGTTGATAGAAAGATTCCTTCACTCTTATATGCCGATGACACAGTGTTACCCTCCAGAACTCCTGTGGGTCTCAGAAGAGCTTTTGAGGCATTTACTCGCTGTTGTAATGAAAACCAGCTGGAGATTAACTATCAAAAAACAAAGATGATGTATTTTGGGAAAATAATTAAAATCAAGGACTAGAGTATTAATGGGCATAGGGTAGAACAGGTTATCCGCTTTAAGTATTTAGGCATGTTGTCACCATCTTCAGGAGCAAGGAATGCCCATCAGGAATATGTGGTCAAGATTGTCCAAAGATTGGCTCAGGCTATATTAAGATTTTTTTTTCGTTCTGGTGGAGGGCAATATATACCTGCTGCCCTCACATTATTTCAGGCCAAAATATTACTGCAATTTCTCTATGGGACAATCAGGCCCAAAATCATTTAGTTTTTCCCCATTAGAAAGAGTCCAATCAAAATTTATACAGTCCATTTTTTTGTATGCCCAACTGTGTTTCTAATGCTGGTATGCATTTAGAATCTGGTTTGATTAAAATGGAGGCTAAGCCTCACCTCTATTAACTTTGGCTCAGATTAAAATACTGCCGCCAAGGATAAATTTCCTTAATCCTTTGGGACTGCTTTCAGTCATCCTGCTAACTGCAATCCATCAAAAGCTCACATCTTACGATTCTCTCCACAGACCCTTCTAATAATGGGATTGGATCAGGCAATAGCAATTATCAAAAAGAGAGTGTTGGATATCAAGCAGCAATGTGATATTAGTAGAGTACCAGATATATTGCCACCACAGCACCTTATGTATTGTTTTTGGAGTTTCATACTCTTTGTAGTGCTTTCTCTCTAGCAAGATGGTGAATACTCCCCTCAGTGATTCTGGAGGGGAGATACTGTAAGACACCTGTATCAGAGAGGGTTTGCCCTGGTGGTGCTGGAGAGGTTGAAACAATTGGACATGTTATCTTTTCCTGTTGGTTTTATACAGAAACATGTGCTAAGTTTATTTCTCTTCTGCTTAGAAGGTTGCCAGGCAGATCTGAGACTGAGGTTGCTAGGAAGCTTCTTATAGGAAATGCACTGTTCAGGAAATGCACTGTGCAGTCAACAACTCTTTGTGCAAGGTTTTTGCAGCTGCTTGTGAGATTCGCAGAGATATCATTTGTAATGTTTTAAAAAATTATTTTTTTTCAAATTTGTAACATGTAATATCAAAGACTTTCATATCATTTATGTGTTGTTATTTTGTCTAATTAGTAATTGTAATACTTTAATATATGGTGTCAACTGTAAATTGCCTATTATGAATGAGCTGGTTGTTGGCTGTAATAAACAGTTGTTGTCAAAGTTTGGTGAGCTTCCTTTCAGAGCTGTCCTTGGTCCACTAGATCAAATATTCCTGGAACCTGGTAGATAGCATATGCCACACAGCAAAGGGGATGCATTGGCATTTCTGAGACATACTCCATTTGTGGCAGGAAGTGAATTGCTGAGCTGAGCTGAGCTGTCCTTTGCTGTAGCTGTGGCTGAATGGAAAGAAGAGCTCACTGCTCCATCCCATGAGCCTCCTAATGCTGCTGATACTCACAGTGAGCCTAGGGGCAGGGAGATCAAGGAAATCTAGAGGGGGGCTGAGCCTTACAGCTCCCCATATTGCACAGCCATGGAAGGAAGACCCACCAAAATATAATGGTGGGTTCTGATATAATGGACTCTGCCACTGAGTACTAGCCAATAGACTAGGCTAGTAATTGGTTTAAGCAACTGAGGTTATTTCATTACGCACAGCTAGTTGACAGCAAGAAAGGAGGCAGTGATGTGCCAAGCACCAGTATTCAATGTCTGCTTGCATTTACCCAAGAATTTCTTGTCTACCTTGGTTGACTCAGTTACATCAGGGCAGATAATATAGCATGTTTCGATTTTGTAACACTTTTTGGGTCTTGAAATAGTATCTAAATGAAGACTTCATTGTGACTTTTAGGATAATAATATAGGATGATAATCTAAGATAGGATGTGTAATCTAAACTAGATTATTGCAATGTACTGTTTGTGAGACTTTCCTTGAAGAAGCTGCCCTTGTTTGGAAGCTGAAGTTTGTGCAAAAAGCAGCAGTCAGACTAATAACAGGAATCAGATGATCTGGTCATGTAACACCAATTCTGGCTTCCTTGCACTAGCTGCCTATATCTTTCCAAGCCCAATTCATAGTGCTGGTTTTAACCTGTAAAGCCCTATATAGGTTGGGACCACAATACCCGATGAAATGCCTCTCTTGACCTTCATCTACCCAGACACTATGATCAAATTCTGGGTCTACTTCTGACTGCCACTTCTGAGGGAGGCTTGGATGGTGGCAACAAAAAGAAGGGCCTTTTCAGTGGCGGCTACCCAATTGTGGAATGAGCACCCTGTCAAGTGCCAACTTTGCTATCTTTTTTGGCACCAGGTAAAGACCATCGTGTACTGCAGACATTCTGGTAGTTTACTGGAACTTGCTAGCTGTTTAACAGGTCATAAGATATTTTTTCCTCTTCATGTTTTATATTTGTTTTTAAATTTGGTATTGTAAATTTTAATGAAGCTTTAATATGTTTTAACATGATGTATTTTGTTAGTTTTAATGTGCTATTGTGAACCACCCAGAGAGCTTCAGCTGTTCAACGGTATAGAAATTAATCAATTAAAGGTTAAATCAGATTTTTTTTCTCTACACACCTAGCTTGAAGAGAGTGCCTCAAGAAGTGCACAGTGTTTCATTCTCCTTTTCAGCTCTTAAGATTGCTCACACATGGTGGGCCACAAAGTGATGAGAAAATCAGAGAAGCTTGAGCTTGACAAGGTTTTCCCAGTTCTACCTTTAAGCTTGCCCCATTCCTGTTTTTAATAATGACTTGTTTTAACTATTGTTTGAACAGGAAATGCACATTTCAAACACATTTCTTGAACCTGCACACCCAAATATGTACTTCCTGCCATAAACTAAAACATAAAGATCAACATTTTAAAAAGTGAATGCTTTAAATTAAAACACAAGTTCAGTACATGCAAGATTCTCGCTGACTCCAGACTGTGCATGTATTTGTGTTTACATCCCTGTGGTTGGATGGGCACATATGACTAGTTAAATCTGGACATATTGCTTGTGGCATGAGGGGTAAAAGCTAACTACTGCAGTATTAATACAATGGCCAGGATAATGTGTATCTTTATGTTCTCTCTGTCTCTCTGCCTCTCTCTCACACATATTACATCTTTAAACCTTTGTTTAGTGAAAAAGCGTTTGGAGGGGAACAGCAATGAAATGTCAAGGGCCAACAGTTTTCCTGAAGACATGGATCTCATCTCTGAAGAGGCAGCTCTGCCTGCTGTGTCTGATGTTTCTCAGTAAGTGCAACCATAATAACTAGTCCTCGGTGTACTTAAATAGAAAAGACATTTGAGTATGTGGCAACCCTCCCTTCTCACTGAATGGTTTGGCTAATTCCCACAATCACTCCTCATCTAGGAACAAACATGCCACATTCTGCACATGATCAAAACCGCATAGTTTTTGTTTCCTATAATTGCTCTGCATATCTTTTCATTTCATCACAAATATTTTAAAACTGATTGTGCAGTTCCTGAAGATAAAAAACAAGAATTGTTCAGTCTTCTGAGCACTGTTAACATACACTCTGTACTTTGTGTAGTGCACATAGCTATAAAAAGTAAATTCAAATTGTTCATAATTTAATTTAATTTAATTTAATGACAGTTGATTTAGGAAAACAGTCTCTGTTTTGTTTCTGTTCTGCTAAATTAATGGTTAAAACCAATGGTCTTAAAAGTGTGTGCCATGAAACTGTAGCCTGCCTCAAAATTATTAAGAATTTCTTAAGGAAAATACTCCCTAGCATCCGTCTCTTGTTTCTCCAATTCACTGTGTCCTGTGGTCCACTGCTCCTGCATTCTATTTTCACTAAGCTTTTCCAAAATTATTTCTAAAACTTAAGCATGCCTGGTTTGCAAATTAATTGAAAGCTAAGGCAATTTTCCTCTCCTACTTTGCTCCTCCCTCCCCCTGTCCCCCAATAAATCTGGGTGGGGGGGGGGGGGGAAACAGTCCTGATTTGATTATATGCCTCATTTGCCCTAAGTTTCTTTTGTGGCAAGTTCTATTGATGTATAGATACACACCTAAACAGTGGCAAAGCATGATACAAAAGAACCTTGATACAACTGTATGCATAATCATGTTCATTAGATTTCCATTCTGCTCATTATACAAATATTTCCAGGTGGTTTACAGAGTTTATGAATCTTAAAAATACAATACTGTAGCAGAATAAGAAATGGTTTGCATACAAAATATAAACACACAGAGACATGCATGTGCTGTCAAATGGGCTAGAGGCAGATTTGATCATATTTAAAGTAGATTCATTGTCATAGATAGTACTTAAAGAAATCATGATTAAACTCTGATGATATGGATACTGATGCGTGGCAATTCCAATGGGCTGGGATGGGGGGATTGTCCACTTCTGCTCTACTCTAAATCTATCTCATGCTGAGTGTTCACATGGGTGTCCAGCAGGAAGCAATTCCAAGTGAGTCTGTGAGGCCAGCTTGTGTAATTCTGCTTCTTCACACATGTCTCGCAGACTTTGTATAATTTGCACAAAGAACAGTTTGCTAATATTCCTGAGCATTTGCAGATTTGATAGCTTAGCTTGCTTCTTGGCCAGGACCAAGCACAGGAAATAAGACTTCCAAGCATAAGAGAGCTGGATTCTGGTAGGATCGTGCATCCCTAGATATGGACTTGATGGGCGAGAGAGAATGGAATTACACAGAAAATGTGTGTGTTGAGGGAAGAACTGAAGTCTCTGTATGACTAACTCTGGACCCATCCCATTGTTTCATTTACTTTAGCATTTTACTTATTAATAAAATTCTTCACTCCCACATCTTAATGTAATCATGGATAGTCATATCAAGATTACATTTCTGTAGTGTTTATGTATTAATAACGGGTGTACATGTACAGGATAATAATGAAGCAAAGGAACTTAATTGTGCATGCCCAGAGCTGTACAAATTCAGGAAAAAACAAATGGAAAAATGGAGTATTAGATGCACTTCTGAAATAAGGCCACAGAACTCCAACATTGTGGGACAGGGAGTGGGAACTTAGAGATGATTTTTAAAATGGAAGCATTTCTAATTTAAAAACTACTTAGCCATTATTTAACCAATCAGTCAACCAAGATATTTTTTGATTGACAAAATAGCCAATCATAATTGAATGAAGGTGAAATTCTTGTTATTTTGTCTTTTGTAAAATTAAATGTTATTTAATTTTAAACTTAACTTGGCATAAGCTTAAACTTAACTTTGAAGGGAAAGTCCCTCCAAAGGACTTTTGGTTTAGGGCAGTGGTAGCGAACCTATGGCATGTGTGCCACAGTGGGTACACAGAGCCCTCTCTGTTGGCATGTGAGCCAAGTCACCCCAGCATTGCTCCAGCAGCCAAGCAACGGATAACAGTGCACTTAGGGGCCATGCACATGCTCGGAAAGCAGTAGTGGCACCAGATGATGACATCACGAGCCATGACTCATTTGCTGCAACTCGTCCAACCTTTCACATGGCCGGTCAGTGCACTGCCAAGGACACACACACACACACACACACACACATTTGCTTGGACTGGCTGTGTTGTTGTTATATTGCAGTGTTGACACTTGGTAATAAATAAGTGGGTTTTGGGTTGCAGTTTGGGCATTTGGTCTCTAAAAGGTTCGCCATCACTGATTTAGGGTGACCCTTTCCTGCATTAATTGCATGAATACAAATAACATGTTCTTCTTTGTTACGGTGAACAGCAGTGCCAGAAAAGGCTGAGCAGCCTTGGGACCATGGAGGATGCAGCAGGTAGGTTTAACTTTCTCTCCCTGCTAGAGTCTGCCTTTCTGAAGTTGCGATTTGCATTTCAAAGGAAGTCTCTATTGGCTTCAATTGGCTTCCTTTGACTTTCAGATTCAAAGAGCTGGTTTTTTTGGTCAGAACTGTGTCAGGCAGAGAAAGTGTTAAATTTGGCTCCTCATCCTTTAGCTCCAAGGCTACTCAGGCTTTCTTGGAATTGCTGTGTACATAACAAAGATGTACACATTAATTGTATTAGCATCAAATTTGATGTCAAGTTTCATGTTTAATTCGACCCTTAGACTCAATATATTTAGGGTGCCTTATGGCTAATGGGGCAGAATAATAACCCAATAAATAAATACATTTCTTAAACTTCCAGAAATGAATTTAAGCAACAGACGTTTTGAAAGAGCATATTCAACTACTGAAAAGCCACAGTATGGAGCTTTTCATTAGTTTGGAAAAACTTATAGTCCTTTGATTAGTATGAAGATGAAGGACTTCCCTAAGCCAACTGAAAAAGCCGTGGCAATAAAAACAAAAGCTTATTGGAAAACTTCTCAGTCAATTCTGTAATATGTAATGTAATTGCCATAGTAATATGTTGATCAAGCCAGCAGCTGCTTTTCCTGTAGGAAGGATGGTAACAGCATAACTAGTATTTGAACAAGGTTCACATAACAGAGTCCCACTGGCACAATATTCTAAGTTTTATTTCATGATCTGCTGGGATACTGTTATGGGCTTCTGAAAATAGTGTTCTGATAACAGAATAGTGTATTTTTAGGAGGAGTTGTTCATATAATGTGACAAAATATTAGTTTATGTTAGGTTTGCATGTGCATGTATTGTACTGAAAAAGTAAAACTGGGTTTATGTATGCTAACTAAAATACTATCTTCTTTGTGAACAAAATATAATTCAGGTAGACAGTTTTAACTCCTAAGGTTCTGCATGGCCTAAGCCCTAGAGCTGGCATGTCCAAAGTCTGGCCCGGGGGCCAATTGCGGCCTGTTTTCAAATTTCGAATGGCCCATAGCCTCTTCTCCCCGCCGGCTCAGCCTGTCACTCATCCCCACCGGCCGGCATTTTTCCCTTCACCACACAGCGGTTCCCGCAGCTGTCCCCTGCTGCCTCCTCCTCCTTCAAGGTTGGTGGTTATATTTCACCAGAAGATGGCAATAGACCTGAGTCAGCACTCTCGCCACATGACCCTTGTGACACAAGGCTTGTGTGCCCATTTCTAAAATGGCGACTGTAACTAAAAAAGGAAAGTTGACAGCGAGGGCCGCCACTTCCAGGACAAGTGGAAATTGGAGTATTTTTTCACTGAAATACGAAACAACTGTGTCTGCCTAATTTGCCAAGAGACAATGGCTGTTTTCAAGGAATTCAATATCAAGAGGCACTACCAGATGAAACATGCTAACTACAACAAGCTAACTGGGAACGAACATGGTGAAAAATTGAAGGAACTGGAAGCTGCTGTAATGGCACAGCAGCGCTTTTTCACAAGAGCCCGTGAGTCAAATGAAAATGCCACAAAGGCGAGCTACGTGGTGGCAATGCTGATTGCCAAGCACTGCAAACCTTTTACTGAGGGTGAATTTATTAAAGACTGCGTGATGAAAATGGTGGAGAAAATTTGTCCTGAGAAGAAGCAAGAGTTTGCCAATGTTTGCCTGGCTCGTAACACTGTGGTATGGAGAATTGAAGACATTTCATCTGATATTAAGAGACAGTTAGAGGCAAAAGGAGTGGAGTTTGACTTTTTTTTGTTAGCCTGCGATGAAAGCACGGATGCATCTGACACTGCTCAGTTATTGATTTTTTTGAGAGGAGTGGACAATGAATGTGAGTGAAGAGCTACTTGATCTCCAGAGCCTTAAGGACCAAACAAGAGGAACAGATTTATTTGTTTCTGTTTGTTCCGCCGTAGATGACATGAAACTACCGTGGAATAAAGTCACTGGGATTATCATGGATGGCGCATCTGCCATTGCTGGCGAGCGAAGTGGATTATCAACCCTAGTCTGTAACAAAGTCAGCGAAGAAGGAGGCAAAGCTATAAAACTCCACTGTATTATTCACCAACAAGTTCTCTGTGCCAAACATTTGAAATATGATCATGTTATGAAACCGGTGATGAAGGCTATTAATTATATTCTCTCCAAAGCCCTGTGCCACCGCCAGTTTCAACAGTTTCTACTCGACATCCAGGCTGAATACAGAGATGTTGTGTATCACAACGAGGTAAGATGGCTCAGTCGGGGGTCTGCACTGCAGCGCTTCTACTCTCTTAGGGAGGAAATCAGACTATTCTTGGCAAAAAAGGGACAACCGATGCCAGAGCTATCTGATCCTGGTTGGCTGACTGATTTTGGATTTTCAGTTGACATAACATGATATCTGAACGTGCTGAACACGAGCCTTCAGGGGCAAAATGCAGTGGTAAGCTAACTGTATTCACATAT